GATGTGGAGTTTCGCGAGGGGTTCGCGGTGCAGGGGTGGGAGGGGGAACCGGACCAGCGCGACGCGGCGATTTTCCGCGGCCAGGCGACGTTTCATCCGACGCGGTACCTGGTGGGGGTACTGGGGTGGTTGCGAGAGCAGCCTAATTTCCAGTGCTTTACGCACAGCCGGATGCTGAGCGTGGAGGAGAAGGACGTGGTGCGGGTGCGGACGGTGGATGGATGGATACACTGTGACCGCGCGGGATGTGGTTGAGGCGACGTGCGTGCCGCTGCAGAAGCTGGCGGTGATTGCGGAGATGGAGTACATGCGGACGTACTGCATTGCGATCCGCATTCCCAAGGGGTCGGTGGAGGACTGTCTCCTGTATGACGAGGCGGAGGAGTACAAGTACGTTCGGTTGACGGCGTGCGACGAGCAGGACGACTACATGGTTGTTGGCGGGTGCGACCACAAAGTCGGCCAGGAGAAGCCGGAGGGAAGGTTTGAGGAGCTGGAGCAGTGGACGCGGGCGCGGTTCCCGCAGGCCGGCGCCGTCGACTACCGCTGGAGCGGGCAGGTGTTCGAGCCGGTGGACTACATGGCGTTCATTGGGAAGAACCAGGGGCAGCAGCATACGTACGTGGTGACCGGAGACAGCGGCAACGGGCTCACGCACGGCGTGCTGGCGGGACGACTGATCGCGGATGAGATCGAGGGCGTCCGGAACCCGTGGGCAGAGCTATACAGTCCCAAGCGGATGGCCAGCGTGGCCAAGTCGTTGCCTAGCATGCTCCTGCACGACGTCCAGATCAACATGCAGTACGAACGGTGGCTGCAGTCGGATGTCAAGGACATTGAAGACCTGGCTGTTGGTACCGGTGGTGTTATCCATGAGAAGACGGGCCAGCCGGTGGCCGTATACAAGGACGAGGGGGGTCAGGCGCATAAGTTCAGCGCCGTCTGCCCGCATATGAAGGCCGTGCTGGCGTGGAACAATGTCGAAAAGAGCTGGGACTGCCCGGTGCATGGCAGCCGCTTCAGCTGCGATGGAGTGTGCATCGAGGGCCCGGCTAAGGCCAATCTCACCCCGATGGATGAATTCGCTAGGAGTAAGCAGCAGGAGGCACAGCGTGTATAATTGTACATATAATGTGATATTAGTACATTTTGGTAGGCCCAACGAAGCCATACCCCTGCCTCCACGCTCCCTTTTTCCTCTCCTCGCGGATCTTCCAAAATATCGATCCCTAGTCGCAGTCAGCATCAGCATAGCACCATACCATCCGTTCTCATAAATCAACATACATCATAAATCCCCCTCAGATCCTCCTTGTGCACCCTCCCATCCCTCTGAATCAACAGCCACGTCGTCCCCCACTCAAAAAACGCAGCCCCCCACTACCCAGTCAGCCTCGCCCTCACACCACACTCACCCAAAGACCTCAGAGAGAAAAGACCTACCCCAAACGGATCCCCCGCACACCGATTCCCACGCATCATCTCAAACAGCTCCCCCAGCGTCAATGCCCCGTCTTCGTCTCCATCATACTTGGCAAACAGATCCTCAAAATGCTGCGGGACGAAGCGTCCCTCGGCATCATACGTCCCGCTATCAGAACCATGCTGCTCCCATCAGCACCCGCACCCGCCTCCCCACAAAAACACAAATAAGAGCAAAACCCACCTTGGCCTTGTAAATACTATCCACATAAACCCTGCACCAGAGATCCGGGACAACCGAGTGCGCCAAGCGCGTCGGATACGAGAAATTCAGATTGATGATCAGCATCGCCAGCAGCGAGAAGAGGATGTTGAAGCCGAGCTCGCGGAAGCCGGTGTACGTGTCCAGCGGGAAGATCTGGCCGTCGCGGTCGCGGTCCCAGAAGAGGACGTGCTGTTGTAATGGGGTCTGATTTGTCAGTTTAGTTCCCTGGGGGATTAGGGGAGGATATACGTAGTCGCCGTATTTGGTGATGTAGGCTGCGTCGCCGGTGGGTTTGTCGGTTGAGATGGCGGCGTTGCCGCGGGGGAGGCCTGGGTTGGGGATGGATGCGGTGGCGGTGGAGGTTGCGGGGAGGCGGTTAGATGTGACGGGGCATTTTGGGGCTGTGATGGGGAAGGATTGGTTGTTGAGGTTGGATTGGGGGGTGAGGTCTGGGATACTGGGCATTTTGATGGTGGTTGACAGGGCAATGAGGTTGAATTGGGGATGTGTGATGGTGAGGGCAGGTTATGTATTAGAATATCCGTAGAGGATTCAGAATCACATGCAAAGACTGTTGTATTCTCTGACATATCAATGGATGGTCTTGTTTATTCAGAGAAATGACGTTCATTTGGTGGCCAGTGTGATGTCATTTTATAGTACAAGAGCATACGGAGTATGGTTGTCTCATATCATGATAGATCTGAGCAAAGTACATGAGTCTATTTATAGATGTGCCAAAGAATCAGCATCAAGACAAAGGTAATCCAAGAGACTCCTCAACCTGAATTGAGAACAAGATTTGGTCAACTGGGGTTACTTATTGCTCTTCGATCGGTCAATCAAGCCAGGGCCAGATAGTATAATAATAAGCTTGAGTATCGAGCCGCTGCAAAACAGTCGTGCTATGTATGCTACGTATGCTATGTATGCTATTACAGCCGAATCATGACCATCACTGCATCCTCCCATCAATAAAAGCACATACACAAGTCGCATTATCACTCATCGGCCTCGCCGCCGCCTCCGTCGCGATCTTCCCCGCAACGCCCTCCGCCCGCGTCCCATAATTCCAATGCGCCACGACATGATCCAGAATCATTCGATCCTCCATCTCATCCGTCACCCCATCCGTCGTGAGAATGACGATATACTTCCCGCTCTCCTTGAGCTTAATCCGCGAGATGGACGGTCGGCTAGACAGTAGATCCCCCTGTTGCTTGTCAGGGTTGAACCCGGCGATCTCCTGCTCCAGCGAGAATGGCTCGTCCGAGTTGATCAAGGGCGCTTTATACTGGAGGTCCCCGAGCGCGCGGGACATATTCAGAGCGCCTGTTCATCAGCAACTGCACGGATGGACTGAGAGAGAAGAAGTACCTAGTCGCGGGGACCCGAGCTCCCGATTCACGACCCCCCCGGCCTCTTTGATCCGTTCCTTTTCCGTGTCGGAGCCGGGTTTGTGCGCTTTTGTGATGCGTTTCTGGCAGATTAGCATCATCCTGGAGGAACGGGAAAGTAACTCACCACCTCCCAGCCAGTAGAATGCTGCTCGGCGAGCAACACGTGCGAGTCGCCGAGGTTGCCCACCACGAGGACCCCATCGGTGAGATTCACCAGGCAGAGGGAGAAGGTTGAGCCGGATTTGCCAAACACCTCGTTCCCTGCTTGGAACTGTTCTAGGAGGAGTTTTTCCTCCTGCTGCACGGCGTCTTCGATGGCTTTCTCATAGTTCCCTGTTCGGATGTCGGGGGATTCGAGGATGAGACGGTGGAGGTGTTGTTTGGCGTGGAGGGCGACGTGGGATGTCACGCTGGCAGGGTTAACATTGGTCTTGGGGATTGCGTACAAGACTCACTGTCCGTCGTAGACTCCGAGGAAGAGGAGAGTCTCTTTTGTGTTGGAGGGGGTCTGCTTTGGGAGGAGGATGGTGTACTGGTCTTGTTGCGAGAGTCGAGATCCCAGGGCCTTTTCCTCTTTAGCTTCCTGATGGGACCGGTGGACTATAGGCTTACACTATTTCCTCCTGCATCCAGGAGGGTGAGCTTATCTTCCGAATCGGACTTTGACGGAGGACCCATTTTGCTGTCTGCTCGCGAGAGGTAGAGTTGGAGTTAGTTTGTTTACAAGACAGGAAACATAGAAGTAGTTAGAAGCAATGGCATCACCAGCATAAGATCTACAATAAGCAGGTATCATGATTTGCCTCTAAACATACCTTGAATTGTGGGCCTCACTAAGATAAGATCCAGAACGCAACGGTGATGTAATCCCAGCTTCACTCCATGGATCGACAGTTCCGTCCTACGGATATCCATCTACTGCCAAGATTCATTGCTCTTTTCCATTACCAAATCCATGGTCTGTTAATTTACACCCTAAACTATCCATTATCCACGTAAACCGTACATCCACCGCTAATCATCCTCCGGCCCCATCTTCCTCCTCCCCGCCTTTTCCACATTTTCCCTCTTCTTCTCCGTCGATTCGCTCGGATATTCTTGATCATCGCATCCGCACTCGTCTGCTCCTCGCCCTCGTGCGCCTCCGAGGGTCGTCCCCCTTGCGCCGAGACGGGCGATTGCACCGACCGTGTATCTGCCGCGTCCGAGTGCCGCGCTTCCTTCCCGCGGGACTTGTTGATTGCTTGAGACTCGGGGTTACTGGAGACGGGATCTGCGGCGTTGGACGAGTTGCCGGGGGATGGTTTCGTGGCGAGGAGTCGGTGGTGCATGAGGGCTTTTGACTGTCAGTGCTGGTTGGTGATGGGTGGGGGTCACTTATGGGTGTGAGGTCTCAGCGACCGAGCGATAGGGATTCGAATTGGAGGCATTTTGGATGATGGTTGTGTCCGCAGGTTTTCTTGGTTGATTGGATTAGATGTGTGGTAGTGGTTATATACTCTGGGTTGGGTTGGGTGGATGACTTCATTCGCCGTCACTGGGTTGTCATCCTTTGAAAGCAGGATATGCAACCCATTTGAACTAGATTTCCATAGGGCTGGATCTATAATGCTTGCACACGTTGTGATTAACATCATGAAATGCTTGGGTGCAATGCCTGCCTTTACTTAGCTATCGACAGACACCTTCCCCTCAAAGACCAGCTTGTAGTATTCTAAACGATCACGAATATCCTGCAGGGTCCCCTCTCCCAGAATATATCTCGAACAAAGCAACAGAGTAGTCTCCCACGTGGATCCCATCTCTTCATGGCGTTTCCCCTCCGCCTCCAGCAGATGTCGATGTTGGTCAACCACGTTCTTCCAAAACTCCCCGTCCTTCAGCGCATCAAGTACTTCGGAAGGCGAGACATAGTCCGGGTGACCAGGACGAATGACGGGCTTCGTACCGTCGCTGTCCACTGCAGCAATGAAATTCCAGTCCACCCGAGAGCAGATATAGCGCAATCGATACACCTTGCAATCGGCACAGGTACACCACTTCCACGGCGTCCAGAGTTCATCCTTCCCGGATATCCGAGCACTGAGCAGTGATCCAAGCGTCTTCAGTCGGGTCGCGAACAACTCCGGCCCGTCAATCATCTGCCGATGCGTCTCGAACAGCGGCACTCCCAGCGTAAAGAACCCGACTGCCTTCCAGTTGTCCATCTCGCCGCGGCCGAAATCAATGTCCGGGGCAGGACGCAGGCGGCTTCCTACCCGTCTATCCCCATGCCATGCTCGTGAGAAGAGCGTGTCTGCCGGCTTCCAGACCTTCCGCACTGCCTTGACGTTACAGCCCGGGGAGAGGAACTCCTTGCAGCTGTTCTGGAACTGCAGGGCTATCTCGGCCAGAAAGTCGTTGAGGACTCGGAGTCGATCGAGGATTTCAAGTCGATTGGTCACCCAGGCTTTCGCGCCTAGATCAGAAAGAAACTCGCCTTCACTATTATAATAGTATTTCTGTCGGCGCAGCAAATGTGTCTGCAGGACAGACAGGTTGTCCACCGGACAGTCCAGCAGATTGTCTGCCAGCGTGCAGCCTTTCGACTGTCCCGAGCCCGGGAGCATTCCTGCTGCGAATCGGTCCGAGCAGCTCATTTCCTCGTCTTTGAGGAGGTACGGATCTCCAATCTTCGGCCCACCGAGATGGAAACCCAGTGAGAAGCTTTCATCGGGATCCTCGCCAAACCGAACGCTCCACACATGATCAATGAGGTCTGCGTCATTCTGCGCGCAGCCCGAGTACAAAGTAATCGCCGAGCCGAGCATTGCCCGTCTGCTTCTGAATCCCGGGATCGGGTACTGCAGAGGCTTGACAAAGCTCTGCAGGTAGCTAACGCAATGGTCATCCGGCTCCTTCTCGATTTCCAGAGATAGAGAGACGGGTAGAAAGGGGTACATGACATCAAAGGTGGGATAGAGAAAGACTTCCTTGTAGGTCACGAGGCCATTACAAAAGACCTGGCAATTATTGCTCATCCGGCTGTAGGCCAGTTTCTGCGTCTTACCCAGCTTCTGCGCAAACAGGAAGAGATGCATTTTGATCTCCTCGTGGAAGAAGAACTGCATGACTTGGGTAATTGCCGATGCGTAACCCAGTAGAAGTTCTCTATTGTACGCTTCCGGTTGGGTTGGCGATCGATTTGTCCTCCACGCCTCTGCAAAAGCGAGGAATAGCGCGATGATTCTTTCTTCTCCTGTTTTTCACCGAAAATTTTCATTGAACCCGGTAAAAAGACCGCCTGAAAGCTGCTTCCTGGCACAGAGAAATCGTCGATCCCGGACCTTTTTTGTCGCTTCATACACGCTGCGCTCAGGAGATACAGAGTACAGCTGTGCACAAAGAACATCGCATCCGTGGATAGTCCTGAAATCCTCAGGATGAAGAAACTCTCTGACCTCGCGGGGCGAGTGACGCCCTAGAGACGGCAACGGTCGGACTGAAATGAGAGCGCCACCAGGATGTCTACCACCGTTAGAGTCATCAACGGCAGGACCCTGGGTAGTGTTACTTGCATCGTCATCCCGTTTTCAATCAAGAGCGGACCAAACATCACCCCACAATGCGCATTCCCTGCTGGAAAGAGTTGTCGGGAGTGCAGGGATCTAAGGCTGTTTCGTAAGCCACCGTAGGAGAGATGCTCCAGAAACACATTCCCGAATGATAGTAGACTCTGGCCTTTGATATGATCTTCCAAAGCATCCAGCTCACGGCTGAATTGACGGTTCCCTGAGAGAAGTCAGCTCATGAGCTTGAGGTAGCATATGGAGCCCTATGACCTGTGTCTCCTGCTTTATTGAATTTCCATGCAACTTTCAAGTGGTCTCTTGGATGCAGAGATGTCTCCATACAGCTGCAACATAATCGAAACCGGGTCGGATACATCAATGTATTGAGGAACAGGTGTGTCAGATCATTGCGAGGCATGTTCTCTTTTTCTGGGACGGTCTTGACATGGTTTCGAACAATTCCACTACGGCTGCAATTCAGTTTCCTGTACCCCCATGATGGGATAAACATTACTTACTGGTCCGTACAATCCTTCTTGCATTCGTAGAAGTGAAATGTACGTATACAGAATCGACATTCCGAGCATTGTACGGCTTGATATACCCCCGGGTATCTTTGGTCAACTGGACATGTCAACAAGTGCTCTCCAACATTCTAACATAGCTTGCTCACCTACCTTGAGCTGCAGGACCGAGTGACGGAAAGGTCGGCTTCCTATACTCCTGCACAAAATCATAGTCCGTCAATCCTGCAACAATTGTCAGTTAGTCTCACAGCAATGGATGGGTAGACAAACCGCATGCTTGAAGTAAGGAGCGAGCTACCAGCTCATCATGCGGTGCATCCTGTCTTCCTAATGAGTGCGTGAGTATTCGTCCGGCGTCAACTATTCAGGTATTCACCTTGGACATTGCGCACGACTTTCTCACACAGTTCCTTCTTCTTGTCATCGGATAGTCCCAGTGGGTCTGTCCATATTAGCAATTTATTGTCATCGGCCAAGGAATAGGTATACCCCATAAGTCCACCAGCTCTTGGAGATAGTCGCTTTCAAACGCATCCTGACGGATCCTTGACAAACCCTCGGGACAAAACGTCTTGTAATCGTCAAACGCTAGAAGCGCATTGGCAATCTCATCCGTCACGGCTTTCCAATAGATGTCCTGCAGAACTTGCAATATCCTTGCAACAGGGTTGTCGCCTTTTTCCGAGATCAGCCTCCATCCTTTATCGATCTCCGCGTCGTAGGAGACAGGAGATTGAAGATTCTCAAATACATTTGCCGATGACATACTGAAACTCGGATGCTGGGCTTTCGTACGTGTCTGGAGACAACCGCGGCTTTATCACCAGTGCTGACTCCTCAGCCGCACGCCACATTCAGCTGGCATCCCGTGAGCACCCTACAAGGCTTTTCAGCATTACCTAGGCTCCTTCAAGCGACTGGCTTCCATTGGACTGCTCGATGGGCTATTTCAGCCTCTTCTACCACCCTCAGCCGCGTCCACCCCGCCTGTGTAGTTTCCCTTCGGCCTTCACTACCACCATGAACTGACCTGATGAAACTCCCTCAAAATGAAGCAGTCATTAGCAAGAAAAGTCGTCAGTTCTTTCACTCGAAAGAAATCCTCCCGCACAGCTGCCGAGGTGTCTGCAGAGTCCTCCGCTTCGGTAGCAGAGGTCTCCCAGTCGAACCATTCCGCTGCGTCGCGCAATCTACGGGAACTATCCGTCCGATTGGATAAATATCTCGAGCAGATCGACTTGAGCGGTAATCTCAGTTCTCTGTAACGTTTCGATCTGCTGATTCGCGTACAGGTGGAGAGGTAGATGTAGATGTTATCTCCATGAGCCGGCAGATCGAGAAAATCGGCCATTACGTCAATGGCTCGCTGCCTGCTTCTGTAAAGCCAGTTCCTATGTGAGTTTCTCCCGTCTTCTGCTGAAACCGGCTGATGTGCTCGCAGAACCGATGGCCGAGCCAGTCTGATCAAGATAGCAGCTTGGGCTTCAAAGGAGGTTTATTCTTCCGACAAGGCTGTGATGGGCAGGATTTCGCGTCCAGAGCAGTTCTCTGACTACCAGCCAACGGAACACAGTGCAGAAATTGACGCTTCGTTCAGAGATGGAACTGTGAAGGCAACGCGGGTGCACTTATTCTCTTCGGGTGTGACAAAGCCCTCAAGACTTCTAGTGGTTGCGATACGAGGATCGACGTCCATAAGACGAGACTGGACGATCAACTTTGACGATATTGGGAAGGAGACGGACGGGAACGGCTTCATTGTAAGTGCCCTATCGAGAGTGGAATACATGCTGATCAGGTAGAACGTCGATGAGATCGAGTATAAAATCCACGGTGGTTTTTTAGAATGTGCCAAAGCTATGGTAGAGAAAGTGTCAGATGCCATATCTTCCGTTCTCTCGGCAGCTGGAGTGAACGACGACGAGGACGTGCAGCTACTATTCACAGGCCATTCCGCTGGCGGAGCTGTGGCTTCCTTGCTGTACGCGCACATGGGATCCAAGAATCCATCGGCATTGAGCCAACTTTGGTCAAGTTCGTCGGACTTTACTTGCAATGTGTTATGAAGCTGACACGTACAGAGTTTGCTCTTACACACTGTATCACTTTTGGATCCCCACCAGTGGCAACACCTGCTCTCATCGCTTCCCACCCCCAGTCGGTCTTCCATGCAATCATTAATGAAGGAGACCCTGTGCCTCGCTTGGATAAGGACTATGCCGAGTCTCTGCTGCAGCTGTACATCTTGCCTATGCCACCAAAGCCTATCAACTGGACGTTGCCCCCTATGCTGCTGGAAAATGCTGGCACGGTCCTCCTACTCAAGAATGGCGTCGAGGGCTTTTGTGAAGTATCAGACGATGAGGATCAGAAACAGATCAAGAGTGTGCTGGAGTCGACAATCTTCGGGAGTCCAAGAGCGCATCGGATGGACACGTATCTGTGGAAGCTGGGGATGTTGCACGGTTGAATGACATGGTGGATGTACGTTCTCCACGGCCAATCATAGACCTCGAGCTTTTCGTTGTTGGGCATTGTCCTGACTCCGTCAATTATTTTTCCCTTCCATCTTTGATTTTCAGAACGATAGAGTCCAACCGGCCCCTCAGCCTTGATAACACAATTCCAGGCAGGGACAGGACGCGCCTTTGGATGATTCAGCCTCTACCGCCTATATTATCGCCTTCATTCTCTCACATGGTCAGGCATCACGCGAGGCGTACCTCAGTAGCCTTGATTGACCATTTCTCTCTCAGTATGAAACCGGCACAGCGAGCAATTCAACTATTGACTAGCACATATGAATTGATGCAATCTGGCAGAGCATGGTCGTGATGGGGACTTGGACAGCGGACTGAGTCGGAGGAGTGTCAAGATGAGGTTTTTGGAAGAAACCATTGCCATGATATCGTGCCTGTTAGATAATGCTTTCTAGAGATCAGATTTCCATTTACAATAGGGCTCGGCTCTTAGCCCTGAGAACTTGACTAGGAAGTCCTAGACTCAACTTGGAAGTCACAGGCATGCAAGACTTCTTACGACATTTCCTCGTCCACCATCTTCTCCATCAGTGAGGTTACCAAGCTTTTTAGCACTTATCGCGAGGGATGATGCTATGACCCGTCAGCCTTGAAGCAAGTGTCACTTACTGCATCTTTCCAGCAGAAAGAGTATAACATCAGCTTCCTGCTTGTACTTCTTGCGATGGACCTTGCTAACAACATCGTCAGTCAAATATACCAGTATAATTAAAATAAACAAATGAGAACCTGAAGCAAGAGATATCTTCTCTGGCAGTCTATTTCCTCAACGTCTCGCGGAGATTTACTCAACCAATACTACCGATCAAGGAGCGGTTGATTCGTGAAGGGATGAAATTTCTATGAAATGGACATCACGCAGGCTATCCAGTGAGCCATTTAATCAAAATACGAGCAGAGGTTTTCTATTTGAGGTTGCATTGCATCCAGGTACGAGTCGAGAACCAGTTCGATGAGACCATGAGCTTCGGATCAGACTGGTAAGGGGCCTGCTCGCAGTCAAGAAGTCGGAAATGCTTCGCATGTTGCTTGACGAGTTCCTCTGAAGGCATCGAATAGTCTCGCTGAATGACTCTCGAATAGGAAATCAATGCAAGACGGCGAACTCCGCACAACAACAGGGTTCAGACACAAATACGGATACAACTATCCATATTAGTCGAGAATGATTGACACATTAATCTATCACACCAGTCATCCTTTGCTGTAACATCTCATTTCCCATTCCACTTTGATGAGGACATTTTGATGGTCTGATCTCGTATCCAGCCATCATTCGCTGCGGGATCTGCAGACTAACATCCCCACCAATCTGCAACACGAGAAGAACGAGAAGAATGGCCCTCATGAGTTAAGCTTCAAGGCTTGTGTTCGCTTGGATGTTATTTTTAGGTCTGATTTTGGAGCATGCCCCTGCTGCTTAATCCCTAGTGGCTTCCTACCCCGTGCGATGCCCAGGAACACGAACATTACGAGACGGGCTGGCTGCAGCTTATACGAAGATCCAGCGATGCGATGCTTTTGCCTGCTAGTATCTTAGTCAATGTAACGCTTCTAAACTTGGCTGGGATACGACTGTCGGCCCCATCGCCTGGACCCTGAATCTAGGGAACACGAGAGCACATGTTTGAACTCAGTTGGAATACGAGATGTGCTCGCTTTCGGATCAACAGACCCTGAAGCGTCTCGGCGATTGTGGAAGCAGCAGCAAGAAGAACTCGAGATTGTCTATAAAAGGTACGACATGCCCATAGTCTGAGTCCTTCATCAGCAACAACATCATCACTCCTCTCAAGCAAACCTCAAAGCAAGACTCTAAGTTCGCATACTTTTTCTTCTTCAGCAAAATGAAGTACCTCACCATCGTCGCTGCATCCCTTGCAGCCATCATTCCTGCCGTCAGCGCCTACCCCATCACCGGCGACGGCGTCAACTGCCGCTCCGGTCCCGGCACCTCCCACTCGGTCGTCAAGTCCTACAAGAAGGGCGAGGACATCAAGATCGTCTGCCAAGCCGAAGGCACCGACATCAAGGGCGACAGCCTCTGGGACAAGACCGCCGACGGCTGCTACGTCGCCGACTACTACGTCAAGACCGGCACCACTGGCTACGTGACCAGCAAGTGCAGCAGCAGCGGCGGTGGCAGCGGCGGCGGCAGCGGATCCGGCAGCGGATCCGGCAGCGGATCCGGCAAGGCCATCGTCGACGCCGCCGAGAAGGAGAAGGGGCTCCCCTACGTCTGGGGCGGCGGTGGCTGCCACGGTCCCTCGGGCGGTGGCTTCGACTGCTCCGGCTTGACCCAGTACGCCGTCTGCCAGGCGCTGAAGAAGACCATTCCTCGCACTGCGCAGACCCAGTACGACTCGAACATGGGCAAGCGGCTTCCTCGCTCCGAGGCCAAGGAGGGCGATCTGCTCTTCTGGGCTACGGGCGGTGACTGCAAGAACAAGGTTTCCCACGTCGGTATCTTCATCCGCGACGGATGGATGATCAATGCCGCGCACACCGGCACTCCTGTCAGAGAACAGGCGATCTGGACCTCTTATGGTGGAGAGTCTATCTGCCCCTATGTCATGAGGTATGCTTGATCTTTGATGCAGTGGATTCGGGCTAATGATTTGCACAGATTCTGGTAAATTCACGCTATAGAGTATGTGACATAGAGTGACAACACGCAAACCCGGTCTTCTTCTGACTGTTCAATTCTCTTGACATACTTGTGCTATACAATTGTGGTTGACTGCCTTCGCTACCTTTCTTTCGCTACTGTACAATTGTTTAAATTCTCATTTAGAAAATCAATGGGTGTTCTTTGATCCAATTCATTGATGATTATCCTTTTGAACAAAAGTAGAGCCATTGGAATTTGCATATCAAGCTCATGCCATTTCAACATCCATGACGAGCGCGTTAGCACGAAATAAGTCTCTGCCTCTCGGAACATTGGTAACAACAGCTATGTTAACCTGTATGAAGATTCTCGCTCGTGATATAATTCCAGCATAGCTGCTAGACTTTCCAAACATAAGACAACGTTAATAGAGAAAATCTATTGAATGAGAACCACTAGACTAAAAAGGTGTCCGGACGATGTACTCGTCAGTCTAGGGTTTCATATCCACAGTCATAGTGGTATCTTATTCCAACAAAATCTATCTCGAGTCTCGACTTAATAAGAAATCTCCCATAACTAGACCCCAAAGTTCAAAATAGGTTAAACAAGCTTCAGTGAACCACAGTCTGATTACCTTGGGATCTCCCGGCTTTGCGCCGTGGATGGACCAGATGGTTATTTCGGCATCACTCTACTGTTCATCACCAAGTTTCTTCACAATGGCTTTTCCCTACAAGAGGATATTTACTCTTAATCTACAACTGTTCATCTGAAGGGTCCCGTGACTCCCAAGGTCCAGGTTCTTGAGAAACTGCGTTCCTTCTACGCTGACAAGAACATCGACAAGTTCCGAGATGAGCTAGACTCGCTTCCCCCAGACACCCATCCTAGATGCTTCGACATACATGACTGGGATACGTTAATGATTGACGCCATCAGGCGGGACGATCCACAATTCACTATGGAGCTCCTTCACCGGGGTCCGCCTCTGGTTCCAGATTATGCCCTAGAAGCAGCCCAGTCAAAAGCAAGGAATGTACTGGGAATGTTCTTCGATGAAGGCAATGTTCAACAAGGTCAACTTCTTTTTCACGCACTTGATTGAAAATCGGAAATCATCGGAGTTTTGCAGCTCCTTCTTAGAGAAGGTGCTTATCGACACACCATTGCCTGGTATTATTCTTAACCGACCTACGTCTGTACCTATGGCGGGAAACCTGAGGGTAAGCTAGCATGCTACTTATATGTTAGCAAGCTGGATCAACTGATGCCGAGTATAGATAATTAGGTTGGAGGAAACCATTAAGTCATTACTGAATGCATTAGAGAGCTATGCCCGGACGTAGTTTTGATTATTCTGGATTAATGAAATACATGCAAGATAATCATCGCATTCGGTCATCACAAAACCCCTGGATATGAAACTCGGTGGTTTTGAGGATTCCATTCGGCGTCCCAGGCTCGGAAGTAATGGGCGCCTCACTGTCAGTGGTACTGTGCTGGGGATCCCTCGCTGAACGGGCCCAGGTCAAGGGATACTCGACGTAGTCGCGCCCTACGCTGGCAAAAGGCTGATAGGGTTGATGGCGACTCAATTTGCGGTTGTGACTCGTTCCCAGCTCGTTGGGGGTTGATTTGCTCCGCTTGCTGGCTCGTCGGCGCACAATGATGTTGAAAAGAGGCGTGAGTGCGGGAATGCAAGCCGCTAGAATAATGAGGTATTGTTCAACTGCAACCCAGATGGTCAGACTGAGCATGTCCCATGTGGAATCACCTCTAGACGACAGCGCCGCCAAGTGGACAGTCTTGATGATAGCTGCCACCATTGCGCTACCAAGGTATCGGGTTAGAGCAAGCATCCTGGAACGGCATGAGGGAATGGAGTCTGGGGATAAGGACTCACATGAAACCCAGCGAGAGCACGAATCCGAGCCCAAACTTAACTTTGGTTGCCATTTGCAAATTCCTGATGGTAAGCAGAGGGTACACCGCCAGAACCAAGTCGCTGAATGCAGAGGAAGCTACGGCCGGCTCCAGGTCAGCAAAACTCCAGTGATAAAGTCCGTGCAGATCATGCTTACAGCCTTGAAAAAAAGCATAATTCCGCTGTGCGTTCGGTGGCCAGCAGGAGCCTTCGATGCTACTATCCCAAGTCTTCGCAGTAGGTGTGCACTGCCCGTAGATGCTGTAGACCCCCACTATATTAATGACAGACAGGATGATCATCCCAGCATACATGGCTCGCTTATGTTGCTTCACCTCCGAGATAATGCGAACCAGAAACAGTGCCACAGAGACCTTCCCCCAATTGGTCGACATGACATGAAAACCCTGGGAAAGCAGCTGGAACTTGGCAGAGGCGATTTGTTGAGTCCGTGATAAATCATCCATGTGGCGCCCAGTCCCATGCCTGATACTCAGACTTACCAGTGCAGTATTAACAGTGGCACAGATCAGCGCAAGTAGAATGAAGGCATCATCCCAGCCACAGCTCCGGAGGATGCGCGCACGTACCCAGAATCTGAGTGCGGTGACAATAGCGCAGATGCCAAAGAGCGGCCACGAAACCGCGTAGAGGACCCAGCCGCGGTCAGCGCCTGATGCGTCTGCCATCATCAAGAGCTGCGGTGCAGGACATGGAGGTGGATATTGGAGAAGTGAAAATCAAGGGCCTGGGGGAGCGGCAGGTGGGGTATTAGATGCAAAAGGACGAAATCGCGATGCCATCGTCGCCCATCGCGCAGACGACATCTTGCATAATCAAATAATCGGCAAGATGTCACTCTGAGGAAAGATCTTGTCCGGTTCAGGGGCAATGGCTGGATAGTTTCTCTGCCGTTGTGATCTTCACAGCCTTTGCCGAATCAAGTAGTGTCTTCGGGGAAAAAAACCCACTCGGGAAATGATATGCCCCAAAGTGGACCCTATCTAGACTGAGAAGTCATGCATCGCGAGGATCAGTTTTGAGAAGAGATTCAGGCTTGTGCAAGTGACTGTCTCTCAATTTTGCGATTTCACTTCAGCAGAGCTGGTAAGCAGTAGTTTGTAACACTGTACACATACTCTACCTGGGTGTGAGATGATTCTTGTAGATGCTTCTCCTACTGGAACTGTATAGCAAAGTGGGTGCTCTTCGTATTCACTAGATATTGATGGCGGCAACTATAACAGAGCTGATGTGATTGGTCAACAAGGCCATTGTTACCTGTGTTGATGTCCCCTTGCCCACCAAACAGCCGATTGAGTAGGGTGACAGACTGAAAGTCAGACTATCTAAGCTATTCTAAAGTTACTTCCATGGATATTTCAAGATACACAATAGCATCTGGCCCCCTTGTTTTCCACCATAGCTCAAAAAGGTGGCAAACACTCCGAGCACGTGGTCCTGAATGGAGCTTGCCAGATGGTCCACCAAACCTTATCCTGCTTCAGACATGGAAATTAGACCATTGAACGCGGTCCTTGTCCGATGGCTTTATTGCCTTGTTCTTGTTCTTTTTTCGTCTCCTAGTTGCGTTTGTTCGTTCCTTATAGCATGAGTCAGTCTGGAACGAAAGTCTTGCGCCCCTTTCGAGCTAGTGTCTCATCGCAGATCATCGTCTTCCTCTAACTTCTGGAGCCATGCTTGGGAACCGAAGGCTACTGTAGTATTATGTAGACTAAACATGTAGTTGTGATGCATCACAAATTCGACCTTGGATTAGTGATCAGGGCAATGCCAAGTATCCATGCATATCTTCCCCCTCGGGACCTATCGAATCGCTCGATGCGTAGTTGTCACATCTATCAACATCAAGATGCTGTGTTATGCGTTGGAATCAAGATGCCCTAGAACCAGACTGCATAGATTCGACCGAACGCTAATATGTTTCCCTGAACAGCCGGCGTGCCATACCTCTAATGCTTGTCATTCCCAAATTCAGCACGCGAAGGAGATCATCTAGAGATTGGCATTGACTCAATCGCCCCTGTATGGATATGACTCGAACAAACCTACGCTCTCAATAGATTAGATTAGAGCTGGCATTGCAGGCGACAGTCTAAGGCATGTCACTTTGAGGAGTCGGGGCTGTAGTCAATCTTCTAGCTAACAGCTGATGAATTTTAGGCATCTTCGTCCCTATGCCTCTCTCCATCTGCTTTGAAAGGAACTATTAATTTCTTCTACCCAACATGTCGAGTAATCTCTATTATTCCACCCAGGTTGTTCACTAATCTAGTTCAAAAGGATTTCTATGTCGCTGGGTAAGTATACAACCTTCCTGAGCCTGCTGCTTCTCGGTCTCTCGCCCTCCACCGATTAAAACAGCTCAAACTCCACGGGCTCCTTCTCGCTCCGACATTAACAATGGAGGTTGGGACCTCCACGCTGGTACTAGGAACTTCGAGCAGTTCTCTTACCAAGCACTGCTAAGCTATGCAATCTATGGATCCGAGCAGGCCTCTTTGAATACTATTTGTCTTTTCATTATAATTTCTTTGATATTTTATAACGAGGAGCAGCGACGCGCAGAGTCCAATAACGACCTGGAGGAGCTTGGGACTTGGGCGAACGGGATTGTCATGGCGGATCCGCCTATCCCGTCTACAGCCACCCGCTTTGAGAGTCGCCGTTCAAAAAGAGAGCAGGGTTGCTTGGCATGGCTATAGATGAGAGAATGAATAGGGGACAGCGAGTCTCACTGATGGTCAAAGCCACCTAATACATGTGTTGGATGGGTAGATACTTGATAGGTCGCTGAGGCCATCATCTGACCGAACTGCATGTCATCAGTCTCGCATCTCGACTCCAGTCCGGAGCTGCGGATCCTGGCCTAGAGGAGGATGATGTTGATGTTGTGTCCCACAGGATACACGTTGGAGCATCGAATGAATGACATGAGAGGCAATTGTTCTGCCAACATCATGCTCATAATTGCGGAGTTTATGCTCTATTTTGTCCAGCCTGGTGAGCATTCTTGCACAGAGAATACAGAAATATTTTGATAAATAGAGGTAGAAGCTAATGCAGTGAGATAGTACATATGCCTTCCTGTTATGATCATGAATATAAGACTTGATGAGGGTTATTAAAACTACTATGTATCGTATATCCAGGTTTGATATACATGTTACTAAACATCTTCTAAGCAGCATAATTATTCGTCCATTGGCGCTTTATACTCATTTTACTCATTTCACTTTCTCAAGGTAGGCAATCAATCATTGATGCTTCGGCACTAAGCACTCAGCACCCTAGGGCAGACATACTCACTACATATACACTCCACCAGTATCTCATATGACTAAAGATCCAATGATATCTTTTTAAACATCTTACATCAACCAGTATTGAATCCCTTGCTTGACGCTAGAGAGGTCAGTGCTGGTGGTCCGAACCCATGACACAACAAGTAACTCACATTGCTACTGCACTGGCTGCTTAGGCCGCCATGCTTCCACTCCGGAGACGTCCCCGTAGCGGGTGCATTTCTGGATGGTTGTGGTTGTAGCTGCCGGGACGGGAGGAGGGAGAGCTTCATGATTGTGCTGTGATTTGCGTCGAAGCGAGATCTCTGGTTGACTTGGATTCGAGAGTTGTTACGATGAGACGTATTTGGTCGGTTATTTTCAAAACGCGAATACATCGCTCTTCTTCCTGAGCCAGCTGACGCCCAGGATTTCTGTTTGGTTTCGGGGCTGGGCATGGTATCCAATCTTAATGTCCATAATATCAATAAGAACAGGACGTATTGAGACTTGGATAATGAAACTACATCAAGGTATAGATTAAGTAATTAGCAGGGCTTTTGGTGCTTCACAGTCTCTTTATTTGGGTAGCAAGAACACATATGACTGAAGTAGATGGCGTCAATTCAGACAGGCTACGTCTTTTGACTGAGTACATGACTTGAGTATCGACATCATCATTGATCAAATAACTTTCAGAAGCATGCTATTCGTATGCTCAGTACAGCAGGAAATGACTAAAAGTTATATCACGTCCAAATCTTCGCCGTCCCCTATGCCTGCCGACTGGAATCACACTCATTTTCCTGTGCGAACGACAACTCCCTTCCTCCCACTCCCTTCCACAAGCGACCACGGATGCCTTGTAGACTGAATCAAGACATTCAGGGTCGAGAGGTTCAATAAAAAGTCCGCTTTGCTCAGCTGTCGTGCACGACACCGCACTTCATGGAATAGAATCCGCGGCCCCAGTTCGAGGCACAGTTGTCGTTGGGGTAGACAACATCCTGGGAGGCCCCCTTACAGTGTGGCTGGGTGTAAAAGGTGCAGACGCACTTTCCATTGGGAAAAGTGCAGTCGGCGATGTTCATGCTGTTTGAGCCGGACCAGACGTAGTCGACGCAGGACCAACCAGAGCCTGGGTAGAGCGAGGTCATGTAATCGGAGCAGCCTCCGTCGGAATAGTAGTTGACCTTGAGAGTAGCCGCGGTAGCAGCAGTGAGGAAAGAGGTAAAGACCCAGGGTGAAAGATGCATCTTGGTAGAGGATGGAGGATAGTCTTGATGGTTATTGCGACTTGTGACTCTTGCTGGTAAGGCGAGATAATGGGTAGAAACAGTTCTAGTAGAAGGCTATGATTTTGATGTTCCTTTGAATGTAGCAGGGAGATTCTACCCTTTTATATAGCTCATCTCAGCACTCCTCTATTGACTGTCAGTGTATCTGCTGAAAGCTCTCTGCTTGTATAGGTCACCGTGTGTCAGCATTACTATAAGTCTCTGTCAGATTGTAGTACATTAAAATGGCACCTAATAGGGGAAAGGTCAGATTTCTTAAGCATTATTAATAAGACATGCATGCAAATATATGAGACCTGAGCATGTTCTATTTCATTATAATAGACGTGTAATAAGGTTACATGCCTATTTATGTTTAACATTATGCTTATCACTAACTTTAGTGTACAAAAACCTTTTGATTTACCCAGTATGTGAGTCTTCTACCGCAACACAATGCAATAATGATGACTTTCATCTATTTTGGATTATTTTGACTGTCTTTACGAGAAACACTCTAACCAGGAAGGGGTATACTTGAAGTTTTATCACATCTCAGTCTTCACCGTCCCCTAGCCCTGCTGACTAGGGCAACAATCATTTCCTGTGTGGAATGACTGACCCATGATGGCAAAATCAACAAGGTCTGTCTCATTTATCTATGTTTGGATGTTATTCTTCAATACTCATTAATTTGGCGCTTCTAGGGATTTGAATGAGATTGGATGAGTTTTAGATCATGGCCGTACTAATCAATTTTCTCCTCGACTATCCCAAAAACGAGATTGTTGCTTGACCCAGGCTGGACTGTGCTTCTGGTACCTAGCACATTCATCCATAGTGGAAACGCAAATGTCCAACATGAATTGAGGAATCAGTTCCAAAAGGTGAGCACTTAGGATCGGATTTTGCCTAGTTCTCAGATCTGGCAGGTTGTTTCTCGTCAACCCTACGACAATGTCTCTAAGTCCCCGATCATTCTCTGCTGTTGAGGTATACACTTCGATGACAGTTGCGGCAAAGGAATCTTTTTCTAAAGTGTTGAGGAAGGTCTTCTCAAAGTATTCCTTTGCCTTAGCTTTTAGACCCTCAATCTGAAAGTAGTCGCCTTGGGCGTACATCTGAGCGTGGAAGTGTGAATCTCGAACAATCGCTGTGGCGGTCTTCTTCTCTTTCGCGTCGACGGTGTGAAATAAATGCATCGGTGTCATCGGTTCTTCTGTCTCTGGAGTGATATCGCAAGTATAGTCGCCGGTGTAGACAAACTGCAGCATCTTTTTCACCAAGCTCGCGTCCCGGTCATTTATTCTGATTTCTCCTTTCTCTTCCTATAAGTACGAATCCTGTCAGTTTAGATTTACATAATCCCTTGGTTGTAGACAAGGACAACGGTACCTCGAACTTTTCCTTACAGGCAACCTCAAAGTAGGTTGACTGAGGACAGACGATTATTCGATGAGCTGGGAAGACCTTGTCGCCGCAGATGATGGACAGATCGCTGTATGCAGGGTTGAGGAATTGGCTGGTTCCAGCTTCAGTCGATTTATTGCAGCTTGCACGAGAAGAGTGTATCTTTTTTTTTTTCTTTCCAGTACCTGTGGACAAGCCCCTTCACCTTAACAGCAGCCTCATCACCCGATGCATCGCAACGCGTCAAATCGACCAACTTTCCATCATCAGTATCTGTTTCCTTGGGCTCTGAGACTCTTGGTCTTTTTGCTGGTGTTTCCTTGCGAGCCATTTCGAGAAAGCTCGCAAATTCTGCCTCATAGAGAGGAGGTAACTGAAGCGAGGTGATTGGAGTCTGAGAGTCGGGCCTGGCTCTTGCCTAGTGCGTTGTGTTGGACTTTGTAAGAATTCACAACTCCTTAGCTAGCGTCTCACTTTTTCCAGTTTCAACTCAGCCTGATCTGCCCAATCATTATTGCCCATACCAGAGCTTTGCATATGGCCTCATGCCACGGATATTATGTTATACCTAGTGCTTTTTGGATACAGAAAGTGCTGTCTGCGTCTGACTACGACAAGTTGTCGCGAGATACCAAACCATCGTACTAAAAATCTCTCCACGATTTGTCATCTCGTACATTGAAGGCAACAATCTATTGAACTAATATGAAGTAGGTCGTTCCAAAGTGTCCTGAGCTTGCGAGAAGGCCAAAAATATAGCTCTCTACATCATTGTAGATGCCATCACCTAGCCTTTGGGCTGCTGCCGAAGATACTCGCAGTGACGAAGGGCAAGTAAGCGATATCTGAGGTATACTCTGATCAATACTGCCACATTCTTCTGTACGTCATGGTCAGGCAAGGGGCCTGGATAACATCTCCCAGAACATAGGGAAAGAGATGACGAACCCTGTGTAACGACCCCTTCGAATACCATCATGGTCTGCATCAATTTTGTGTAAGGACTTTATCTGACGTCAAGGGAGTTCTTATGCTAGAACTGTGCATCTGACCCATGCAGGGTACATCAATCAGGACTGCTGCCGTGTCTTGGACAATAACAGATCCTACGAGTGCTGAATTTCATTCCTTCTGCCACAAAGAAAGTCAGTGAGGTGGTACACAATAATCCGAGAAGAGCTTAAGCCGGACGGGCTATAAATGTCGGCGACAGATTGCTGTACTGACCAGACTCCAGCACTTCATATCCGGAGGCACTATCAACATGAAAGAAAACCTTTATCTTAGTACAATCAAGGGAAAGCTATGCGGTTCGAGCCAAGAACCGGGACAGCCATCTTCCTCTCCTCAAATCCTCGGCTTGTACAACTTCCGAGACGCGGGAGGCTATGGGTTGTCCGGCACCAAATCTGTACGAAGAGAGTATCTCTACCGCTCAGCCAGTCTGAGAAACGTCTCCCAAGCTGGACTTGAGACATTGCGAGATCACTTTGGTATCAAAAGCGTCTTCGGCCTCTCAGACCAGAACTTCAACAAGGCAACCATTGCCATAGATGGCATTGCCATGCAGCATGTCACCGCCATAAATTGCAAAGACAGCCGAGAAACACTGCTAAAACATTTCAACCGGCTTTCTCACGACATAGTCGAAAGTTTCATGGTGATTTACGAGCACTACTGTACCGTGTCTGCGCCCGCGTACAGGGAGATATTTGCACACATCCGAGATAGATTCGACTTTCCACTTCTTGTTCACGATGACTTGGGGAAGGACCAGACAGGAGTCTTCGTTGCAGTTGTTCTCAAGCTGCTGGGCGCGTCGGATGAGGATATCATCGAGGAGTACCATCGCTCTGAGGCGGAGATTGAACGACTGATCCCTGAGAACAGTGCGAGACTACTTGGGCTTGGGATATTTGACTGTCGTCCACCTGATAATCTTGAGAAACACTTTCTGGCACCGAGAGAGGTTATGAGAGCGTTCCTTGTGTACCTTGACTTGACTTATGGTGGGGGTGAAGGATACTTGAGGTTTCTGGGATTTGCTGATGTTGAGATTGAACTCATCACGAATAATCTTATTGAGAGCAAGCCTGTGTAAGAGGCATTAGAGAACTATCCTAGATAAATTTTCTCTTAGTTTCTGTTATGGTCAGCTTACAAGATGGGTCTTGAGTGTTTGACTAGACTACAATCTTTAACCTAGCCTACTTCATGTGGTCGAGAAAGCGAAGATCATTATTCCAGTAGTAACCCTGACTACTGATATCTGCAGAGCCATATTTGATCAGCAGATGGTCGTTGCTAGGAATTAACAACTCGTCCACTTGACATTCAAGGAACTGATCGAGCTCTACCCTGCTTGTTTGGTCATCTTCCCGTCTGCCGGATACTGCAAAATTTGGATAAAGACGGCCGAATTTCAATGATCCCGCGCCTTCCACATTTTGCTCTCAAAGTCTTCAAAGACCTCCCGTGCCTCCTGCGGGAGGTCCACACCCATCTGAATCGCACTCAGCTCGACTGACCGGAACATAGCCGTGAACAACGGCCAGACCCGGGAGAGTGCGCGGGCTGTAACGCACAGGTCGACAAATGCGCTCGAGCTCTGGCGATCTCCGAGATCCTCCAGCAACGTAAACAGGCTTATGATGACTGTTTGCGTGCAGGGTATAGGAATGCGTTCTATGCCCCAGAGAGTGCGATGCATTCTCACCAGATCAGCGACGGCCTGAGCAGATTTTATACGTTTCTGCTTTGCGTGCGCCACAACCGCAGTGGCCGATTCGATACCGGAGCCGGCGTTCTTTAGAATGCCAAACATCAAGATCATGACAGAATGGTAGCGCATGCTAACGAGCCATAATCAGCGGTTCGATCGCTCGAGGTAGGGAGAACACTGAACGGGACTGGGCACCCACTGGAGTTCTATGATCGAAGGGATGTTATTTTTCGCAAGTGTAAGACACTCGGAAAGTCTCTCCATCCATTGCGACATTTTCGCAGATGTGAGATTGACTGCCTCTTCCAGATCGCTGAGAGGAGGCTTTTCATCACCATATAGAAATGTCGATGCTTCTGCAACGATGCCGCTAAACTCTGTCAATGAAGAGAGTAAGCACTTTGTATGTGCCGGAAATTGATGTCCTCGATGAGGATACAGCGTCCACTGGTCATTCTCCTTTGGGTTGCAAGGTTCTGAAGGCATTGGTTCGAGGACCCTCATCGGTATAGGTTTCTGGAGCGCAAGCGAGGAAACACTTCATGATCGGTCAGAAACGTGCATCGCCGCTGTGCAATTTTGATTCACTCACGACACAATATTGAAAGCTCCTTGAAGCGCGTGTTTGATTGCTTCGGTCAGTTCTGGGGCGGCTTCCCCAGCCGTCTCCACTATTCGAGCTCTGGAATGTGCAAGCTCTTCTGCGCTCATTGCGGCCTGAATCATGTACTGATACCCCAGCCTGTCATTACCTATCACGGAGTTGCTAATGAAATGTCAGCTAACACAGGGGCGCATAAATGTCAGATGTATCAAAGAAAACTAGAGTGGACTTACTACATGAACATTGAGAAAAGGCCCTGGACAGTGGTCAGAGTGGCCTTGTTGCTCTCTTTATCGAGGTGCATTTTGGCCTCGTTGAAGAAATGCAATCCCTTCGATGTCGGGTCGCCGGGAATCGCCCAACATTCAGGATCGTCGGAGTAGAACTACATCAAAATGATTCAACCATTAGTATGACATTGTGCGTAGTCGACGGCGGTCGCGCACTCACGCATGCTTCGGCGAGTATGATGTTGACCAGGAACGGAGAGCAGAATCTGGAGTTAATTTCTTTCGACTGCATGTCCCTGATGAAGAGATCGCGATCCATACAGTCCCTACCGGGGTGATACCAGGTAAGCCACAGTGACATGAGGTGGGAGACAAGATCATCGCGATCAGTAACCGATGTCCAAGGCTTTGCCGGCACATTGACTATGGGGAAGTCGCAGAGACTTCTTATTGTCATTACCTTGCGGCGAGGCCGCGGTCGAATAGTCTCATGCTCTGACGAAATGTCCTCAGCTGCCATCCGGCCAGTATCCGGGCTGATTCTGCGTCTCGACTTCGGAAGACTCTCCAAACCCTCTCCGACTGACGGTCGAATCTCATCCGGCGGAGCATTGCTGCGAATAAGATTGAGAAGCTGCGTGACGTTGACATCCTCATCATCGCGAATGGTCTCGAGTAGGCGCACGAGAAGAGTGCGGTCCTGTTCAAGCTCGATAAGTTTTCGCTTCAGGGATGTCTGTCGGCGACCATCTTTGTCTTCCTCTCTCCGACATTCCGTCTGATGCTTCACGCAGTTTCCGCATGGAGTTCCGCCCTGACACTGATTGAAGAAGTTAGCGAAAACAGGCGCCATCCTCTAACCCAAGAAAAAAATGCAAACCTTTGCTTTGCGAAGCTTGCATGCTGAACATGACATGGACGCGTTACGGCGAGTTGGAATTGTTTTCAAAGCACAGTTCTCCAGCAATGTTCGGCCATTTGAGCTCGATGCAGGTGCCAAAGAACGGACCTTGAAGGGGTCCGACATTGCGGATATAAAATGGGGTAAATCATAAAGAAGTGCGAATTTCCTTAGATGTATCGATTTCTGAACAGCAAAAGACAGGCAGCGGGCGCGGAGTCGACATAAGAACAAGTAAGCAGTCATCCACTGGGCTATGAAGGCATACGACAGTCATAACCCGTATAATAAAGAACCTGAGGCCTAAAGGTCATTGGTTGTAGCTTTTATGCTGCCGATCTCAGGGTTCACTCCAAGTTTTGAGGATGACTGACGCAATGATCAGCAATCCACAACCAAGAAGGGACGTTTCGCAATTATTACCCATCCAGTTGAATGACATCTGGAGCTTGTTGGGTGACTTTGATCTCAAGCAGTTTATCAATCTACTCCTTTCATACATATTGGACCACAAAGGGAGGCACGATGTGCAGCAAACGCAGTCACACATCAGCCACATTGATACATCCCATTCCAACCCACAAGTCCCAACGTCAAGCAATCCACCTCTCTAGGAGAACTATGCACTACTATCGCGTTAATTTCCACAAGTTCAACCCCAGTACACGCTATTTCTTGGTTATACTAGCCAATCCAAGACGCAATGTCCGTACCACTAAGGCGAAAGCAGACAAGAGCATGTGTCGCATGCCGGGAGAGAAAACAAAAGGTGATTGCCAATCTCCTGACTCGGGCGCTGAGTTTTATCAGTCGGTGATCAAAATGATACCCCCATATCAGCTTCCAGCTTCCATTGATTTGCTTGAAGCCATGACTGACCGGACACATAGTGTGACAGTGGACGACCGTGTGCGCGCTGTCTCGAAAATGCAGTCGAATGCATTGTTGACGAAAGTAATGATCTACGACGAAAAGGGGCTCTGAAGCGCAAGGTAGAGACGATGGAGCAAGACCAAGAGCTTTTGATCCAGCTTGTCAGCGCCCTTCGCGATAGCAATGGACACCATGTCTCTCACCTTGTGAATATGATTCGGAGTCATGCTTCATTGCAAGAAATCCGAGAGTATATAACAGACCATCTGCAACTGGGTACAATCAAGGACACGTCCGAGGTGAAGGAGCTTCGGCGTCAACTTCGCCTTCTCCTTGACTTGGAGGGACCAGCCTTAGAGTCACACAAGGCACAGCGGGTCGCTCACACTCGTCCTTTCAGCGTTCCCGCAAAGCCGTGGACGATGGTCCAGTGCAACAGTGCGTTTGTCTCGGAGCTCGTCTCGCTGTGGTTTACCTGGAACCATCCCATGTTTCCCTGTATTGACCGCAGCCTATTCGTGAGAGACATGCGGGCGGGGAATTTGGCATGTCAGTACTGCTCACCCTTCCTGGTGAACGCCATACTAGCTGACGCTTGTGTGAGTGATTCATATGGTTTCCTCCGCGGGTTTATAATCCTGATGATGGAACCATAGGCATTACTAGACAATTATACCTCCGAAAACAAAAGCTACATCAACGACAGCTCTCTTTCCCTAGCTAAACGCTTCTATCAGCAAGCTCAGGGGCTCCACGAGGAGGAGGGGCGACTCAGCTTGGCCACTATTCAAGGATTGGCCGTTCTATGGAGATGGTAACGAGAACGAAAACTGTTATCCTCGCCCGCAATCTTTCTGTTTAGACTTTTTGCGTCTAACCTTTGATAGCACGTGTTCGTTCGGTAATGACCATCTATCTCGAGTGTATGAGGGTCGAATGGCGTACGCGTTACGCGATTTCTCCTCTTCCATTCCATCAGCTTCTCCACAATCCAGCGAGAATGAGCGGCAGTACGACAATGTTTGTAACACTGCCATTTGGGGGGTGTACAATATTCTTCTGTGAGTTTCGGATGATCAAGCGCTCTCTCACGTCAGACCGGGTTGTTCTAAGTTGTTTGGCGATAACATCCAGGGCAAATCTGATCTTATACCAGCGTCGGCCATTGATTGGGATTCCGCAATGTGCGCGCCCGCTGGTGCTCCATATTGAAGGTCTCGCGAGCGAGCATTGGGCTCCATATCCGAATTCCCAGCCAGCTACTACAGGCCATGAATCGTGTTTAATGAATCGTCTCTGTGACTTGACTTTGATTGTCAGTGACATATCGGATGCTCTCCCAAGATCGGAGAGATCTCTCACCCGAGGTTGTAGACCAAAGGGTTGAAGCTTCATTCAAGCGCCTTGCAGCTTGGAATGCCCTTTTACCTTCCTGCATGCGGCTGAGTGATACCGAAAGGTCTTTGCCGCAGGTCCTCAGCACCCAGTGAGTGCCGCGATACTTACCAGTTGGAACCTTGCCAATGCTGACGTGTCCCTCGTTGGGTATAGCATATACTACCACACAATCATTATCGCACTGTACGGCTCTTCGCAGAAATCCTTGAAAAGTGTACAAATGAACAATGCCAGTACCCCCTCAAATGCAAGATCCGGAGCGATGCGCCTTGAAGCGGCGCGGGAAGTAGCTCGGCTAGTTGAACTTCGTCGACGGCTATGGGGTCTGGACCGTATTTCTGCGCCCCTCAGCCAGTGGGTAACGATCTCTCTGCTCACGCTGCTAGAGGACCTGTCTACACTGGAGAGCAAAGATGCGTTTGTCAGCCTTTGCGTTGCGCTGCGTGTATCGGCTCGGCGATGGGAGCATTCCAAGGGTCTCCTCCGGCTCACACAGCATCTCGCATCTCAGTCACGTTTGACTTTACCTCCGGAAACTATTCCTCTGTACAGGGACTTCCAAGACTCGAAATGGGGCCCAGAGGATGATGAGAAATTCGGTGCACTGGCTCAGAGCTTTTGGATGTGATTCACTGTATGTGCGCAAGACTGTATTATAGGCCTGTATCATAGACCATGTTATCGATTATCACTCAAATTCATCTGTCCCTTTGAGCCACTACAAGCTGCAGAAGACCCTGATTATTGAATGAATCGTGAAATTCCTCTTCAATCCCAGGACTATCTTGATAGAAAGCCCCGCAAGAAGGCTTTGGCAAGTACACTCTTCAGTATTTCTAGTCGAACTCAGATGTCAAAAGGATGATGGATGATCCTTAACGCAAAGAACCACTAGCTACTCATAAAGCCGGCTTCAGAGGTCTTTTCTCTGTAACACAGTTGAATCACAAATAAAATCAGACTAGCACATTAATCCTCAACCCTCTCCACCACATAAGCAGTCCTGTACGCACACACCTGCAAACAAGCCCCGATACTAGAGACATTAAATCTCATCACTATAATTACATTCTCCCTGCGACCTACACATTCTCCTACTAGTCGCTCGACTGCCTCGTTCCGCGATGTATACGCTAGATTAGTGAATGGGCGGAGCTCACTGCCTATAGATAAGCACATGATAGGGCGAAGATTAGTACCCCAGTTATAGGTATAGACTGTCCTAAGGACTTTAGTGATTCTATAGCCTAGGAGGTTATTAGTAGTTATGGTGATAACACTGTGGGTATTAGTGAAGCAGGAGGAGTGTTGTCTTAGGATTTGGATGAAGACATAGTATGTAATAAGAGGGATCTGTTTAGGTATACTTAAGAGACTGTGATTTGGGCATGAAAGAATTGACAAAAGATGGTCTATGTATCTTCATAGGTCAATAAGGCATTTCCTTCTGGAAAATCACACATGCAAAGGACATTAGAGCTCTCTAGTCATCTGTCTTATATTCACATTAGACTAGACAACAATAGGATAGTGAAGCAGGATAGCCTCAATCAATCCTTATTAGTGAATCAAGCTCATTTATGGCAAAGTCAAATTATTCACTAGAAGCTTGATCCATTCTGGGAGTGAATCTACCACTTGCCCTCCCCTCCTCATTGCTCTCTGCGGTTCTTGCTCCATCTCAACCAGCAATATCTGACTTCTCCCATATACTTTCCCCTTGTTTGAAGAGCAAGAGTAGATCAGACAATTTTATTTCACAACAAGCATGGCTTAAAGACATATTTCCAAAGACTTCTCCTTTCATGGATGCTGAAGAACGCAGCTATAAATCCCCGCGCTTGGGGCTTTCTGCCACAGCATCTCAGGCTGCCCCTTCTTCCCCATGACCGGGCGTACATGCGGATGTGGCTACCATCGACCACAAAAGATGCCATGACACATCAGAAGCATACCAGCTTGCAAATACATGTTGGTGCTGCTGCACTTGACGGTCTTTGCCTACCAAATGCAGGTAGGATGGGGTCTCAGCATCCCCAAGCTCAGAAAGCAATACCAATCGCTTGGACATCAGTTTGCCAATGATTCTGCAGGGGATCTTATTTCCTGTGCTTGTCGAAGCCAGCAGACACGTCCGTTGCAGCGAGGATGTGTTGCTCTTTTTCTCCTAGAATGGGATTTCATCAAATGACAGATATGGGAGTCAGTGAAGTGTCTCCCTCATGAAGAGTCCACAAGACACGGTGGTCTGCAAGAGGTTTGCGAAGTATTTGCATGGCTAAAGAATGGGGTTCTTTAACTATCTTCGTTCAAGAATAGTAAGCTGCTATTGAAAAAGGTTGGAATAAACTATCGCTTACAGAATTGTCCCTAAAGTGTTCGATTCCTCTCTCCCAAGATCGGCATGAAATCTTTAAGTCCGCACCAAGACAGTGATTGAGAGACTTGATAATGACAAATCCAGCCTTGGCGTCGTCAGCTATCGGTTTCAGTGGGATGGCTCTGTCGGAATAATGAAGATCCTACCTTCTGCTGCACATGATTATACTACCACGAACGTTGTTATCGTTCTTACTGACCAGCTATCGGCCATGGGAATTCCTGACTGATAGAGGCTGGGGTGGTACCACGACCTACAAACCCCAGGCTACAACGGGAAAACAAGCAGATCAAATTTTCACCCCAAGCACCCGTCAGTCACAGCATGGGATCATCCGAGGATGGCCTACTCTGGTCACTGAAACCGGAGTGAGTGAATCGCATCCCAAGCTGGAGGCCGATGCGGAAAGTGACGGCGGAGCTGTCTGTCCTGGACTGAGTAAGTACTAGGTACACAGATCTGATATTTACCAAAACAGATTCTAACTTATACAGCTCCAAGAGGTTCGCAACTAAATGACCAACGTCATGCAAGCCCGCCAATAGTTGTTGATGATACTCCATATTCACCGCTTTGTCCCGGTGTCATTGTTGCATCTAAGAACCTTTCAACGACATCTATGGCTCGGCTCCAAGAATTGGGCTTGGTCCGGGGTGAGCTGGGGCCATTGCCAGCTCTTGAGGCCGCGACATCTGAGGCTGGATAGACTGGTATGCCTATGCCTCCTAAACTCATTGGGATGGGACAGTATGTTCCCGGGTGATCTCTTAGTGTTTCTCAACCGTCTTGCTGACCTTTCGCTTTGTAGAAGTCGTCTCCCGCCTATGAATCCTTTTTTATAGGCCGTCGTCGCGAACAGAAGCACATCATACATCCCCTACCGATACGTCCGAAGGAGAGTGGCTGCTTTTACCACAGATGCTCCATTGATAGAAGCCGCTAGCTATGATACAACCACGGTTCCTAATTCCGACGATAAAATATACTGGGTGGATGTCCAATACCGCTGGGCAATGGCTTATCAATGCGTCATTACCCAGATAAGGCATCTCTGCCAGTCCACCTTTGCAGTGGTGTGCAAAGCTCATCATGCAGGACAGACCCAGTTGGCCAAGAGTGTTCCAGTGCAGCTGGACCGAGGATGGGGAGTTCCATCTTAGCGACTCTAGAGGGGTTTTACGGTTGATGGAGGGATGGGATCATGGCTAGCCATGTTGGACTGGGCTTGGTATGGGGTCATTAGGCCTCCATTGCTGTAGCTGGCCAATTAATCACAGGCTTGGACTCCTACCATCCGAGCTTGAGGGGTGAGGGGCACGCTGTTTAGCTGTTATAGGGAGACATATCCCCTCCGTAAACTTCTGATGTTTGTGCTATCCCGTGCTATTCCCAGAAACATTTACTAACAAATGTCAGGGGTAAAACCGAAGAAGAGGCGGAGTGGGTGTATAGGTTAGCTTTATGCAACTGCTACATATGCATCGCCCCCGCGGCCCCGCCTACATTATCAACTGTCTGGGAGGATCTGGGGGAGCCTGTGAAACCCCTGTGAGAGCCTATTGTCTACCGCCCAGAAGCTTTGCGTCTGATTCCAGGCGATGAAGGTTACGCGAGTTGGGTGCTACCGTCATCTTAAGGGCGTGCAATTAGTTGATGCGTGCTGTCTCTGCCAAATTCTGCTGGTCTTGATCACACCTCTGGTCAAGTGAGTTGTTGCAACTATGACGGCTATACACAAGCTCTTGCTTGCCAGGAAGAAGTATCTTTTCTGCCGGTATATCTCTTGCGGTGGTCATTCCAGGCAGAGAATGAACCCCTGCGACGTCTGAGCCCGGCTTCCGTTGACTTGATTCTCTTCTTGTCAAATGTTCTTGTCGAGTCGAACGTCCCAGCATGGTATTTATTCTTTGATATGTATCACAATCGATCTGAGGCAAAATGGTGAGGCCGGCTCAGCAGGTCACAGCAGCTTCGGAGCACCCTGACCCATTGGCAGTGCTGCCTCCCGCCCGCCGCACCCTGCGAAAGAAACCTATGGTTGTCATCTCCTCGTCGGTAGCTCCGAGCCCTGCCCCTGCCCTGACGCCCTGTCTCGACTACCGTCATATGCCCAGGACGAACCAGAAGACTCTCTCGGTGCGCTGCATGGTGACACGAACGAGCACGTTTTTACCATCGGCTTAGCCGACGAATTCAAACAACGGATCATTGACGGATATCCAAACGACCCGAAATACGGCCGTATCCAACAAGTCATTAAGGACAACGCACGGAGCAAATGTCCGGTCCGTATACCCTATGAATCTGAGAACGGACTTATCTACACCATGCCAGAACACCGTCTTTGCGTACCGCATAGCCTATTCAAGGAAGTCGTCCAAACCGCACACGACAACCAGGGACATCCCGGCGCTGATCGTACCTTTCAGAATATGGATGGTCTGGTATTCCACCGGATGAGACACTGGATTAAGGAATACATCCGTCACTGATTGTCGGGAAGATTCAAGCGCCTGGTACTGTTAGGGCTGCTAAATTTAGGCAGCTTCACCCAGGGAAATGACCAAAGAGTACGGTGGGCAAGTCTTGAAAGCGCTATCCTTGAGGTACAAATAGCCCTCCCCAACCTGCCCCTTCCTCGAAATCGATTAAAAAGAACACCCATCCTTCTTGTCCTTAATCATTCAGAACACTTCACCACCGGACCAAAACCATCGCAATGTTCAAAGCAACAGCACGTCGTCTTTACCAGCTAATTGGAAAAACGAAATTGAGTGACCTTCCTGCTGAATGGCGAGCGCCTGTCGGTCACGTTCTTGATACAGAGGAGAATATTGTGAGTAATCTATTCATAACTGACTGATCTTGTTCATTACTCATGAATCCGCAACAGGATCCGAAATTCAAGAACGCTGAGATCCGGTACCCTTAGACCCCGAATCGTGACAAACGCGAGTTTCGACTAAGTACAGATTATAAAGGTGCCAAACCGCATCTCTCCCACGATGACCCAGAGGAAAAGCAAGACGTGATATCGGTTCGCATCAAGGATAGCGAACTGAAAACTTTGCGGAGGCTGCACATACACCAAGATGGTTCGGTCAACAGGATTGAAGTTTAGAGGCCAGAAGCTTGCTTGATGAAAATTAGGTTTCCTAGTTCAGGTAACACGGGGAAAATCAACAGCTGGTCTGGTGATGTCAATTACTGGGGATATCTGGGTTGATACATTTTTGCGCTCGTGTCTTTTCGTTCTCTACGCACTGCAGCCGCCCGTAGAGTGGAAACACAGTTTACATTGGCAAAGCTCAAGGTTATCAATATCATTCCTTACGCCTTGCGCAACCGGGGCTCAAACTACTATCATGTCGTTTAGAATTTACTCGCCGAGCAATCAGAGTGGTTAAGGTGACCGTAACCAAGGATCGTCCAATAGCTCCCTTGCCGATTCTCTCTCCTCGGGCTTCCATCTGAGCATCTTGCGCAGGAATTGGATGAACAGCTGCTGCGGTTCACCCTCCAAATTTCCTTCAAGCTTCTCCAACGATATAGGAGGGATTTCAATGGTTCCCTTCCAATTCCCTATTTCATAATCAGCAAAAGCCTCTTGGAAGATCATGATTCATACAAACCTTCGCCGTCGAAGAATTCGGTCGCATAGACACTGCTCTGCATCATTTCTTTCGGTGGTGGCCCCATAATGGCAATCATTTCGGCGAGATGATGACCATCAGAACTTTTCTTTTCTGAATCTCGAGCGTAGAACAGATGTCCTTGTTGGAAGAGATCCCATGTCTGCACCCATTGTTAGCAAAGGGCAAATGTCCGCCACTCGTCGTAAAAGCTTAATTACAAGACAAGTCCAAAAGGAATGAAAGGATACCAGCACTCCGACATTCCAGATATCAACTTTTTCATTCCAAGGCATTCGCAAGAGCACCTCGGGAGCCCGGTAAATATAGGGCTGGATATCCCCAGAGTAAGTATTTGACCCATAGCGAGCCTGGCCAAAATCACACAGCATAGGACGGCCATGTTGCTTGGTTTTCCTGAGCTTTCGAGAAGCGTAGATCACCCGATCCCCAACGATTTTCCGCGGGCTAGGACTGGATTTCTCTTCCTCTTCGAAATCGGCTAAGATCGAAGTGTCCTCAATAGCCATCATGATGTTCTTTTCTTGTATATCTGGGAAACCTCAGTTAGAAGGCTTTTCTGGAGATAGAGAGTTGGATAATCATACCCGTATGGACGATTCCAGCCTCTGTATGAAGGTAATCAAGAGCAAGAAGGAGATGCGCCAGGGTCAACTCGACTATTTTTTCAGGAAGTACCTTGGCCCTGAGTTGGGTGCGAAAATCATATAGACTTATCCCCAGGGGAGGATGAACAAGACATCCAAAATTGCCCTCTGCAGAAGTAATCTGGAAGCTATCCAATGCTTTGCGGATAAGCTTAGCACCAGCATGATCTACTATGCTGAGGGAATTCAAATGGTGGTAGGTTTCTGTCTCTCTTTGACCTTCTGCCGAATTGCGCTCAAATACCTTCAGTGTGACATAAACATGCTGCCTAGAACAAAGTGAGTTTTTTCGCCTCGCTGCTTGATAGTAGGATAAGCTGACAGTAGGTCCCTGCACAGCCAAATAGTTGAATATCCACCATAGCCCAATTTACCAATCACCTGATACCTTGATTGAAATACCTCGCCGATTTTCACCGGATAAAAGTCATCGGGTGAGTACCATGACAGTGTTTCTTCCTCGAGCTTCTCGGTTGAATCGAGGAGAGGGAAGTTTGACTGAGAGAACTCGCGTACTGGTGATGCAGGACGTTGAAACAAGGGACGCCAGGAAAGAATTGCCTAGACAGTCGGGATGGCAGGCGGAAGGTTGAGGCCATGGTGAGGAGCGTGGTGAGAAATACTGAGTATACTGACAGACAGGTCACCATGAATGTTGTAGGCAATGACTCAGCAAGCTGACCTGATGGGGCCTGCTCATCGCTTCGACGCTTACCCATAGGTACAGTCACATGATCTGAGTCCGACTCAGGACTCCATTCGGTTCGTATAGAAGATCAATGTAATCATCGCCAGAACGATGCATCGAGCAATACGTTTATGCCTCCCTAAATGATTATAGATTTGAACCTCAACCTCCACAGCGCGAACGCTGTAGACGTATGACTTATCAAAGTGACACGCTGAAGCATAAATCACGTGACAAAATCACCCGCTGTAGCCTGTATGGTACATAGTAATAATGTCCACAGTAAGGTATTGGAAGAGACTGACTGGTTGGACCAAGAACCAACCCTACAGCTTTTGGAAATATTTACCGCCCGGGCAGCGATCAACCTCAAGACGAGACCAGATCTACAACATCTGTTGGCCATCGTCTCGCACAATCAACCATCTTGATGAACGATTAACTCACGCTAGAAAATCCCATCTTCCGACCAGCAAGTCAGAAACTCACAATCACCCACCTTGACCTAAAGGCAAAACAGAGACCAACTTCCTCTGCACGGGCTACCCCTCCACGGTTCTCCATTCGAAGCGGAGATCCGGTTCCCCCCAAAGGAGAATCACCCGGCGAATAACCGGAATCTAGGCCATTCACCGCCGATTTGAGTCATCTAGAGTTTGCGAGAATGGCATCTGGACGGTTGGAATAACAAGAAACGATGGAATCGCGTCGGAAATCTTGATTCCTGCTGGAGGGAAACGCATGAATGCCACTTTGTCATGGGTTTCTCCGTTGTTGTGCTACTGATAGAAGGTTAAGGGTTAATGGTTTGGATGCTAGCATGCTTCTACACTGGATGATGGGAGGGGAGTGGTCGCTGTACGGAATTCACCGCTGGTTGTTCATCACCAGAATCAAGCAGGATAAGATTACGGAGTACTTGTTTCCGCCATCATCGCTTAACCATTTGCAGTATGCAGACGGGATGGATGCCGTTGGAATTACCCGACACGCGTCCAGGATCGGGATCCTTCCAAGGGTACAACCGTCCACATTACTCTCTCGAGTAATCCGAAAGGGAGCAGAGATGAAGATGGGAAATTGTCGGAGATGAATGGTTCTGGTTAGCTCATTCCATTATTATATTATTGAATTTGAGAATTGATATTGATATTATTCAATTTAACAAACTTGTGCCCTACACGTGGAATAAACACAGCGGAGAGAGCGCTTGGTCGAAATCCCCCCACTCCGTAGATATCTGAGAGCCATCTCTTCGCCATATCTGTCAGGTCAAGCGAGGCATCATCTCCATCCATATTTTCTGTAGGTAAAGATCGCCATCAGTCTCACCGTCTCCATCATCCGACCCCACCATCACTCCTGAGGACAGTGAGGAGCCGTCTAGAAGCGTTCTGGAACACCCACCCTGGCCAAATGCCAGGATGCTCGCAGCTGGTGAGACAGTAGAACAATCAGGCGTTTCAATCAATATCCACATACGCATCCACATCCACAGATGATGGATATCCGTCGGATGCTTACACTCCTCCCGGTCGGGGTTACATGGGCGGCTGAGGTGTGCTTCATTTGCGCCAACCACACCTCGAGCGTCGTTATCATTAATAATGATGTGGTAGTGGTGATTTGGCATGTCTTATTACTCCGTAGTTCGTGCGTCTAGAGTGGACAGTGGACTCAGATAGGTACTGATATCGAAGCATCCAGAAGACGCCGAGTCAGCCTTGTGGGTTTGGCCGATGATATAAATATCTACTCCGTATGTGGGTGAGATCGGTCCATCTGAGGTAATCGAGCGTTGTATCTGAGACAGCGTACACGTAAACTGTTGGCTGACGGATGTTGGTGACTTGAGGCGTCTTGACAGAAATGACTAGAAATAAATGAGTACAGGTTCATTGCAGGAGGATTATCGAACGATGGCAAATTAATATGATGGATTTCTAAATACTTCCCTAGTTGCCTGTATACTCCAACCTGATGACGGCAACGGCACGGTAAACAAGCTGAACAGCTACCTATTAGGATGAGCAGCACCAATACGCGATATAGTTAGAAATGTCACATGGGACAGTGCTACACATCAACGAAGCTATTTGCCACTTCATCAGCTGTCAATATGATCACAATAACATCAGAAAATAATGATATCGCATGGAGTACTCGACTCGACGGAGCACCCTCGTCTCTGATCCTGATGCTCGACCTCGGTTGAAGTGCCGATTGAAGTATACACCAGAGATACTTGCGAATGATGTCAGCTGAGTCGCGATAACTGTCATATGTCAACCAACATCAAGAGAGTAACAGATACTCGACAGGAAGATTTCGGAAAAGGCTTGCGATCGGTGGACAGCAAAACAACACCATAGGACTAGCAGCCGTCAGATGGACAGGACCGAGGCATCGACATCATCCCCCATGACGAGTGTGGCTGGTCGCTCCCGATAACTATAACGATCAACGGGTTGTCTACGTAGTCAAAGTCTAGACCAGGTATCGTTATTGCTGCTTCGTGGAATCAGAAGGTGACATCTCCAAAGTCTATCCATCAGCAGCTTGCACCGGGAATCGCCGACTGGGGTTCGCCACATACCATTCCCGGAGCTCAATGAATATGATATATGAATAGCAATATGATATATCCATCGATGATCGTCCGGGGAAGCTGCGAAAATCGAATCTCGTCCCAAAGTCTACGCTAACAGGGACTCCAGGGATTTGGAATCCGGGAACCTCCTGCGGACGGAAACGATCGCGATACTTCCGCCTGCTCCTGCTCCTGGAAGCTGGGATCTGGAGCTGGAAGCAGCTTCCGCTGCGAGGAGGTACACTCTATGTATTCTCTTGCTCTGGGTCGGATCCGCCTTGCACGAAGCTGGAGATCCGTGCGGCGGGAATACGTACTATTGTCTTTCTTTGGAATGTAGTGGTAACTCTGGGGAGTGCGGAGAGCGTAGGAGTGTGGGATTGACTCTGGCTTGACTTCAGGCATGAGGAAGAATATGAGTATGATGTACTCCGTACACAGTACAAGCGAGACATACATACGCACTCCATGTTCTACCCCATACTGAAGACTGAGCTTGAGCTTGAGCTTGGACTCCTCCGCTCAGGCCTTACTGTGGTAGCTTCAGAGCCACGCTGTGCTCCATAACGATAATGATATGCACCAAAAGTCGCCTCACATGCTGCTGTGACTCCATCGGATTCCATTTCCCAGAACCAGAGTTGGAATCCACGACCCTAGGTAGATTGACTGACTCAATACACTGAGGTTCTAAGACCTATCCCGGTCGCAGATGCAGCAGCCACAGGTCATCCACATAACGTGGCTGATAGTCGGTAATGCCTGAGCGATCCAAGCTCCCTCATAAATAAACAGATATCAGACCCTTCATTTCCTGTCGGTCGCTGGCATGGCAGGCTGGAATCCAACCATGGAGGAAGCGGTGAATCACCGCTCATTTAGGGCCTATGATGCTGGAGTATGGCGTCTGGTAAGGGAAGGTGGCTCATGTATGTACCCTGCACCGCACAGATATGTGTGTTGTATGTGTGCAATGTGCAGTGCATACAGGATACATAATTATTGCCTGAGTAATGCGGTGTGTCTGTTTGTATACACTGTGCAGCGCAAGGTAGGTACTTGTGTCGACTGTCGAGGATAGATGGATAGTGGGCCAGGTAATAATACATGCATTGCAGGAAGAGCTGTAAGTTGGCGGAACTGCAGGGTTGAATCCGGGATCATGGGCCATGGAGCCTACGAATCTGATCATTGCGATCTGGAATGTCGGGGAGGATTGGATGGTGATCCTGGCATGCTGGGGTGCTGCATCTGCACCTGCGCCTGCGCCCTTGGTAATTTACCATCAATCAATATTTGCTAATAAAGTACACAAGTGCCTGCACTGCGCAGAACCAGTGGCTTTGGCCTACTGGCAATGGAATGCAGGAGCCACTGAACATGGGGAGGGGAATGGACGGATCGTCGTCGTCATCAAACAGTTATTGATCAATAAATCTGAGATGCAACATACCTTGAATTCAAAGTACATATTCCCCTTCTAGAAAGAACTGGTAAAGGCACAGTATCTTGCTGTCCTTGTCAGATCGGTCAGACCCTTCATTGACCGAATCAGGCAAACTGCCCATATCCAGGACGGACTCAATGCATTCCCACGGTCGGACACAGCATTCAACGATAGTAATAGGAGTACGGAGTAGTCATCCCTTGATCCGGGATTTCGCTCCTCCCATCACTGTCTTCATATCCTGGTCCTACGATATTGTAAATGCCATCAAAAGGGACCATCAGACATCAATCTCCGCACTCCTGAGCCCTGTCTCCCGGAAGCTGGGACTCTCGCGCGGCCATTTCCCCGTCTTCCGCGGGCCATCCCGTTCCCCTGTCTCGTTTCCAAGGAGTACTTTTTCCCAAAGTTGATGGATCGCAATGTCTAATTATTGAGTAATAAACAGAAACAAAGGGACGGAATGACCACTTATCCCTATTTTTGAGCATCACTGCCGTAACTCCATAAGTGACTAGACTACTGACTGTCTAGTAGGAGGGACGTATCCGCCTGGACGGTCCGATCGTCGATGTGGCTCCTCCCGGGTGTGTGGGAGAAATTCCGCGGTGGCTAAACCACGGCTGTTTGGGCGGTTATTGGGTGTTAGTCTTCCAATGTGCTTGATGGATGGGTAGATGCGATGTCTGGGTCTAGACTCTGGATCCTGGGACCTCGGCATACTTGAGTACGAGGTACCCCTGGTAGTTGATACTGACAGTTGATACATCGAGTGTACTTTGGCCTTTCTACAGCTCGAAATAAGCTGTAGCTGTCATATTCTTCAGGTGTTTGACGTATTTTGTGGAGTAGAATTTGGAATGACAAATTTTGA